ACAATAGATAGCAGCTTCAGCAAGTCCAAAAATGTTGTCCATAACACTATTGTTGTTGTGGAGTCCAAGTGGACCCACCCTTGCGTTTTCTCTCTCTTAGAGAGCTATTCACAATTTCTAGTAAGGATATTATACAATAACAAGAGACTAGAGATTAGATAAAAGAAATGGTCTGAAACAACAAATGTTAACGTAGTATCAGATGGAAAACTGTAAAATGGATCCACTTGGACCCCACAACAGTAACGAAGGGTTAAGAGATGTTTTTGTTTTTTTTTGACGAATATACATAACAACGAAGAAAATTTCATTTTTATTAAAAAAAACCGGTAAATTAAATTCACTCTTTCTTTCGTTTACCTGACGAATTATTAGCAGAAGATGTAAATGTATGTGATTTAGGTTTTTGATTACAATTAACCTATATCAAATATTATAAATTAGAACATACCTAAGAGGAAAAACAAACAAACGAAAAACCTTTGCAACAGATGTTGATTGTGAATTGTGAGATCTACTTAACGTACTCATATTTCTAGATAATGTTCGACTGTGATTTTAAAAACCAATCAAAGCAAAATTGTGGTGATTATCGTATTGAATAACGACGTTCTTCATAAACATTTTCTTTATCAAAATCAAGTTTATGTAAGATACAAAGTAGAAAACGATCTTCTTCTTCTGTATAATTTTTGTCTTTATTGGTATTATATTGAATACGCAATTGATGAAATGGTGCTTTGTATGAAGCCATGTAAATTTTTAAAAGAATAATATATTTTGTTTTTTTTTTTAATTTACGTTTAATAAGAAAATCAACAGCTGTAAAGTTAAAGTTAAACAGAAACGATGTTTTATTGTTTGTATGATAGCGTTGAGATATATAAAATGGAAATCAAATTTTTTATCGTTACATAGTTTCCTTTAATTCTAAGGTGCTGAGAATTTGAAATTCAAGCAACGTTTTTTGAGTGTTTTTCTATTATGATTAAATAGAGCTCGTCGAGTTATATATATATATAAGCAAAAATTAATATATATTTATTCGTTTAAAGCTTAGAATTTTTTCTTCAATCATTCAATGACAATGACTAAATAAAATAATTTAAAATCAGACAAAAAAAGAAAAGAATAATTAATTTACTCTCCAGTAGTATTAACATTTGATGAAATTTGTCTTTTAATTGGCATTGTCATTCGTAATGGTGATGTTGAACTTTGATCTTTCATATGTTTATTAAGTTGACCATCTTGAACAAAATGTGAAAAATATCTCTGTTTATTCAAGTAAATAATTAGATCTTTTAACTTGATCTTTGTTCTAAATTTATATAAATCAAATTTTATTTTCTTTCAAAATAGATTTTTCTTTTCATACTAATCGACTTTGAAAAACTGAATCAAGAACAACATCTTTTTTTTCTCTTGTTTTTACTTTTTAGTTGTTTATTCTTGATCGAAATTTTCATCATCATTATCTGGTAAATCATCAATACCATCAAGTTCTTCTTTCGCTCTTTCAATTACTGCGGTTCGTTTTGTCGGTATTCTACTCTCTCCGTCTTTTTCATTTCTCATATCTATTTCATCAGTATCATTCTTTTTCTTTTTATTTCAATTTGAGACTAACAGATAAACATAATGAACTTTTGTTTTTCCAGTAACAAGAAAAAAAAACCACATCTGATCATCATTAGTTTTTATAGATGTGAAGAACAAGGAAAAATACAATCATAGGGCAAAAAGAAAAATGAAATACATAATTATGCATTTGAAAGACAATAAAAAAACGTATGTGATTCGAACGACTAGATTTCGATTTCGAATAAGTTTATTTTTTAACCAATTACATTTGTTTCAATTAGAATAGCTATAACCAAAAACACAACATAATATATAACCAATAG